ATTGTATGTTTTTTTTTTGTAATTTGGTTTTATTTACATCTAGGTTTACTTTTTTTTTAATTGTTTTTTTCTTTTAATAATCGCTGCTGTCACTGAATGTTCTGTTCTGTAAAATGTTTTAATGTATATAAATTAAAGTAAAAAAAGGGCTAATAATATTTTCCTTAAAATGGTTTTTAAAAAATTTACAATGGCTTTTATTTTTGCCGAAATAAAACAACTAAGACTTTCTCCAGAGGAAAAAATATTATCAGACATACAGTGAACATTTCCTTGCTGCCATCATTTGGGAAATATAAAAAAAAAAAAATTCAAAGGGGGCAGAATAATTCTGACTTTACCTGTACATGGCCCTAGATTGACTCCATATAATATGCATACTTTTATGTGGTTAAAATGACAGCAGATTCCTCTCAGACCTCCTAAAACTGGAGACTAAACGACTTTAACTTAATAAAGTGGAACCCATCAATCAGACCACACCTATTGATTGATCACGTGTCAATCAATAGAGTCCTTTTAAGGTGAAATATTGTCCTGTCAGCAGCGTCTCCTCGGCGTACGTGTGTGTATATCATGTAGGTTTATGTTATGATATCTCAGATGTTAAATATCAAACGGAGGTGGAGCCGTGACGGACGTCCGCATGATTGTAATTATTATGGATGGCGTCTATTGTCTCTGTTTCTGTGGGTGGGAAACTCCAGATCTTGTTTTTGGTCTTCAAACGCATGCGGACCTTCAAAGTGTGTTGGGGAGCAGCTCTTTCCTCCGATTCAAAGACGCTTTAAAGAGAGATGGTATGCACACCATACATCAGCACAAATATTGTTGGAGATCAGAGGCGTGAGGCTGTAATCCAGCGCGCCACTGTTTGATGTGTTTCGCTCACTGCTGGACGTCAGGGATGCTGTGTGTGTGTGTGCCTGTAACCTGCGCTGAGCTCGACCTTTTACCTACTTTGCTTTGCTGCAGGAACAGATTTCAGCCTGTAGAAAAGGATGAACGTTTGTTTTTTTAACAGTATTTTCTGTTTGAATGTAGAAATATCGAAACATTATTATTATCGAAAATATTATTGAGTAAAATGTTTATTTAAAATAATTAAATGTTTAAAATAATTATCGCTTGATTGATTAAATCGATATTAATTGATAAAAAAATGATCAAAATAATTATTTGTGAAATGGATGCATTTATGTCAGAATGAAATAACTTAATTATTCTTATTACAACATATTAAAGAGTATATAATTACATTCTAAAGTATTATGGAGACATTTTTTTGAGTATTTAATAACTCTTCTAGAACTCTTCTAGAAATCATGGGGATTTCTTGGGGATTTTTTTGCTCAGACAGAAAAAAATATGTACAAGGAATGATAAACACCCACAGAAAGTAAGAAGTAATAAAATGCATGCCTCCAATGAAACGCAAGTCGCTTTAGATGAATGCATCTCCAAAATGCATGAATGTAAAATAATAGTACTACTCCGTCATGATTGGCAGAATACACTGAGTTTAGTGGAGTTATTAGCACTGTTAAAGGGAAAGTTCATTCAAAGTTCTTTATACATTCTCTCATTATTTGATTCGTTTGTACTTCTGGACACAAAAGAAGATACTTGAATAAATGATAAAAACCTGTAACCATTGACTTCCATAGTATTTGTTTTTCCTCCAATGGAAGTCAATAGTTACAGGCTTTCAGCTGTCTTCAAAATATATTCATTCATATCCAACAGAAGACACATAAAGATTTGAATCCACTTGAGAGAGAGTAAATAGTGTGTATATAGTTGGTGAGCTGTCCCTTTAAGATTTGATGTCAGTGAAGTGGAGAAACTCTCTGTAGTGAGGAGACGAGATCTGCACTGACTGAAATCCAGCTCTTGGGTTTTTCTCCAGCCAACTCACGCCAATGTCACAGTCTGAGAGAGTCTGGAAACATTAAACCAGGACAGACGGAGACCTTGAGAACCGCATGACAGACTTTGACTGTTTTCTTAGTACTGATTTAAAAAATGGGTCAAAGTGTGATCATTAGCAGGACTGCACATATCGTTTGAGCACAATATATATCGCTTCAGCACGATGTATCGTTTCAGCACAAAGTATCGATTTGGTACAATATATCATTTTAGCACAATGTATCTATTCAGTACAATTCATTGACTCGGTACAATATATCGTTTCAGCACAATGTATCGTTTCTGCACAATGTATCGTTTCTGCACGATATATCATATTATCAAAAACAGTGTATCGTTTCAGCACAATGTATCGTTTCTGCACGATATATCATTTTTATCGTGATATATCGATTCAGCACAATGCATTGATTCGGTACAATATATCGTTTCAGCACAATGTATCCTTTCTGCACGATATATCATATTATCAATCACAGTGTATCCTTTCTGCACAATGTATCGTTTCTGCACGATATATCATTTTTATCGTGATGTATCGATTCAGCACAATGCATTGATTTGGTACAATATATCGTTTCAGCACAATGTATCGTTTCTGCACCATGTATCATATTATCAATCACAGTGTATCGTTTCAGCACAATGTATCATATCATTCCGATGTATCTTATTATCACAATGTATCATTTCAGCACAGTAATGGCATGGCGCATTACTCTAAAACTGGATTGTCTTGTTTGTTTTCACTTTTGACTAGATAATAATGTAAGTTTTGTTTTATTTTAGCCGTTATTCTCCTATAAATGTTGTTTTGTTGTATAATTGTTTTTTTGTTTTTTGATGTGTTGAACGTTTTATCGAATATGACAAATATAAATTTAAGAAATATTCATGAGGTTAAAAATAAAATACAAATGAATCAAATAAGATCAAGTAATTTTCTTTTAAATGTTCAAGCTTATTTGTATTATAAACCCGCTTTGTAGATTTTCTAGATTAACTAGCTTAATAAAAACTGTCTCATGTAAGATATGGTTACCATGAAATACATGTTGATGATACCGTCCAGCAGTATACAGGCCTAATCATTAGTGATGTTCAGGATCTTCAGATCCAGCTCTGTTTGATGCAGAAATAACCAACCCGCTCTCATTAAATATTCATGAGTCAGCAGCACTCGGTTTTACAGCACACTGACCTTGAAGACCAGCAGAACACAGCTCACATGATCGAGCTTGTTTTTCGACATTTCTACTATTAATGATTTATTTTATTTGCAATCATTTTACATAAACTCTGATTAATGTACTTCATTCATATAGAATTTTAGCTTTAATTAGAGTCCTCTGTGTTTTAGTTAGTGTTGCTCAGTCAGCACTGATGTGTCCAGGTGTCAGATTGCAGAGTCTCTGCTGTCAGCCAATCAGGTGGCTGCATTCACAGATCAGCTTCTGATTGGATGAGATGAATCTGAGGCTCAGTTCAAAAGAGTAATTATTGGTAAACACTGATGCGCTGTACATTATAAATCAAACGTTTACTGTTCGTGTGCCACGACGTGAACAATGTCACATAGACGCTCATTGTTTATTGCTTTAATATATGCGCATAATAACTGCAGTCAGCATGTGGTGATATCGCTTACAATAACTTTGCAGGAAGGTATTTGGATTTGAAGAGCGAAGCTGAAAACAAAAGCTTATCTTACACTTGGCTTGAGTTCACATCACATGAGCGTTCTCTCTCTCTGTGCGCGTGTGTGTGTGTGTGTGTGTGTGTGTGAGACGCTGTTGGCTTCAGAACTGAAAGAAATCACATGATAAGAATCTCTCTCTTTTGTTTGGTTTGTAAACAGTGGCACTTAAGATTGTGGACACGCCCACTTTTCCATGCCCTTCAGCCGTAGGAGGCGGAGCCCACATAATAAGCAGAGGCGGGGCTCTGACATTGACGGACAGTTGTAAACACTGTTGCCATAGCCATGACTCCTGTCGTCTAGGTGGCCTTTAATATCCATAAAACTCTCTCACACACACACACACACACACATTATCTGGATTGTGAACGTCTCGAACCGTCAGCTGGACGTTTAGGTGAGCAGACCAACCATTAATCAATAAGTCCTAAAGTCATAAGCCGAGACATACAAACAAACGCACACACATAAATATACCAATCAATACTAAACTAAAAACAATTGAAGTGATTAAAAATACATTATTCTTGATTATTCTGTGCATTATAAGTCATTTAAATGTATTTTTATTAGATAACAGAATTAATTGTCATACATTTTTGCTATATTACATTAGAATTAACAATATTTATATTTATCTAGCAAAAGTATGACTCAGATTAAGTATATTGCTTTATTTTTACTGATATATCTCATGCTGAATGGCTTTATACTCATATTTTGATATTTTAAATTAGCAAGAAGTGATTTAAACCATTAGAGGAGACACTTCACTTGAAATTAG